AAGATTAGTTTAATAGTATCAAAGTTTTAAAACATTTGCTAGATACAAAAACAAAAATTTGCAACACAGTATAAAAATTACAATTAGAAACCTATGTGTAGTCTACTGGATACAAAACAGATTCTATAAAATTGCTGTACAGTTAAGACAGCAAACAATCTAAGGAATCCAAACTCTATTTTCAAAGTCAAAAGCATTCCATGCAGAAAACAAAACAAAACAAAAACTAGTTACAGAAATTTGGACTCTATTAGAAAATAATTATCTGTTCAGCCCTATGTTTCATTTACAAATTGATGTACTCTGATGTATGAAGAAAGAAATGGAAACTATTTGCAAAAAATATGGTCAAAGAATGTAGTAATCAAAAAAATTGAATAGTATTGGTGTTAATTCTAAAAATAATCCATCATATAGTCAAATAGCACAATAACCCTGTCAAATGAGAATATTTTCCAGGCTCAGCTGTTCACAAGTCTTAAGCCCATTGTCACCAGACTCTAAGGGGTGGCAGACAATGAATGAACAAATGTCTATGAGTTCTAATTAGGAAATACATTAATATCTACATTGGATCATTTTATTTCACATGAAACTTTAAACTATTTACTATCTTTCCCCACAAAAATAAAGGCATGTTTTAGACTGACCACTACAAAATTCTGGCTTGGCAAAATCTAAATTAATTAGTAATATTTAACATTACCTTTCAAGTGATGATTTCATGTGTTCCCCAAAAAGAATACCAAGATTACCACTTTCCAATCAATTGTGCACATACAGGCACACGCACACAAACCCATGCAACAATTAGGGTGCCTGTGAAAAAAAGCTGTCTTCAAGGACTTGAGGCTTTCAATGCAAATGCAGGTATGTCTTCTGAGTTCACTGTTCTATAATTAAAACAACTTTAAAAAATAATTGCCCAGAATCATCCTAGAAATGTTGAGTTCTTCCTACAAACTGGCCATTGTTGAACAGAGATTCAAAAACAGGAATTAGATCACTCATCTATAAAATTCATTTCATTTTTTTAAGTCCAATGGTAAATGCTATGTTTGTAAATTTGCTTTTTAGAATGAAATATCAGTAGCATTTACTATCATACTAGATTAAAAGATCAGAGTTGTCAAGCATGGACCTCTAAATGGCTGGTTGTGCCTCTTTGAGTAAGACCACAGTAACTCAGGAGTTTCTCTCTATAGAACGTCTCAACAGTGTTTGTTAATATGAATGTCCAAAATAACACCAAGGTCCACACACATCTTCAAATTTTCAGAAAGTCCACTTGGAATTTGAAGGGATTATATCAACTTGGAGCAGAAATACCAGTCCTTTCATAACTGTTGGAAGTCTTGATTCATATTTCTACGCATCTGTGTTTGCTGCCTAGTGGGGAAATGGGAACTTTTCCTTTCATGGTAGATACAATCTTTTGAAAATGAGGTATACAGGTAAAAGTGAATAATTTTTTTAAAAAGGTTGAAACTACTACTCAAAGATCATTAAAAACAGTAGAGAGGAAAAAAACCCTAAAGTTCTATAAAAAGTTTAATGAAAACTAAAAACAAAAGTAGAAGAGGATCCAGGAACAGTGTCCTAAATAACAACCTGAGCATTAAGAGAGGTTCAGAGTTCCAGCCAAGGGAGCTTCCTTGTGTCTAAAGCCTCTTACTATGACTTAAACTCCAGCAGGATGAAGCCTAACTCTGCAAGATGTTTCCTTGTAGAAGATATGTCTGATTCCAAAGTCTATAAACAAGCATAATTCTAGCTACATTTATAAGGAGACCTCTTAATGCAATCATCTCTGATCTGGCTCTTCTAACTGGCATCCCTACATTTACTCTTCCTTTTCTACAACTCACTCTTCACACAGTAGGGAAGACGATAAAAACAAACAAAAATTTAAATCCAGTCATACCACTACTCTGCTCTAATAGCTTCTATGCACTCTTAGAAAAAAGCTTCAACCCTTACATTTTCTATAAGGTTCTGAATAATGAGACCATTTCAAACCCCACCTCCCTACCTGCCACCCTCTCCACTCCAGCTATGCTAGCTTTTCTTCCCCTCAGATCCTTTCAAAGCTCCTTCTTACCATAAGGCCTTTGCACCTGCTTTTGTCTTCCCTAGAATGTTCTTCCTTCCTTGTCTGTCTGAAACCTCCCATTAGTCCTTCACTTCTCTGCTTCAAAGCTACTTCCTCAGAAAAGACCTGTTCTTTATTAGTCTATACTCCAACACTCCCCTGGATCCTATCATTTGCATGATTCTTTCATCACACTTACATCACATTGCAATTAGGTAACCATTTGTTAATGTCTTTTTCCAATCTTATATTCCAAGGGAATACAATTTTGCAATGGGCTCTCTCTTGCACAAGTTAATGAAAATTAGCCTATCTCATGGAAAATCATAACTCTACCAACAACATATGCATAATATTAACAAGTCTTCCTGAGAGTATAACAAATGAAGTAGCCACTGAAGGAAGATTTTTCACAATTTTTTCATTCCCCAATACTCTAACTCTTCAACTAAGCTTCTAAGCTGGCGGCATGTTAGGTTCCTTGAAAATAATCACAGAATTCATTGTGGCAGTTAAGTATCCTGGATGGAAACACATTGAGGATCCCAACCAAAGCCAACTAGTCTTCAAATGAGTGAATGAATCATTACAAGAAATTGTGACTGAAAGGCCACCCAAGGAGTAATAAGAAATTCAACCAGTCTTCTCTTGGATATAGTTTAGCCAATTCACTCTAGTTCAGATAAAACAAATGTTTGATGGATGTGATGAAGACATAAACAAACAAACAAAATACAACAACAAGACATCAGGAGACAGCTGTAAAATGAGGATTTCCCAAAATGATATGCCTTTGGAAAGTGTCACTATCAAGAAGTTGCTTGGCTGGGTGTGGTGGCTCATGTCTGTATTCTCAGCCACTTTGGGAGACTAAGGCAGATAAAATACTTGAGCCCAGGAAGTAGAGACCAGATTGGGAAACATAGTGAGACCTTGTCTCTACAAAAAACAAAAAGAAAACAAAAGAAAAAATTAGCTGGGCAGGGTAGCATGTAGCAGTAGTCCCCAGAGGGATCGCCTGAGTCTAGGATGTTGAGGCTGCAGTGAGTTGTGATTTGCCACTGTCTGCCAACCTGGGCAACAGGAATCTGACTAAACAAACAAACAAACGAGTTCCTGATTAAGATGATTATTTCAAAAACCTCTAGAAGCTAAGTTTTATCTGAAGTAGTGATGCAGGCATTTTAAATTTGGCACAGAGATTTGTAAGTCTACAGTACACTCATTCTTTTATCTGAGGTCACTCTTCAATCTTTTGTAACTTTAATCAAGACATTCAGGTTTCTGTAGGTCAAAAGCCTCATAATTCAAGAATCTAATGCAAAAAACTTTTTTAAAAAAGAGAGTATATTCATTTTTCAGAAACTTGCAACTCACTAACAAAGTCAGAAAACGGAAGATATAAATCAAAATAAATAATTTAACCTGATATTATGACCGAGAAACTTAAGGAGAATGAGAAACAAGTTGCTTATTTTTCTATTCTCTCAGCTATCAACAACCCAAGACTTTCAAGAAATAAAACTGAGAATAGTAATGCATTATCATCTTACCTGTGTTACCCTTTTGGGGGTAAGGGTAAGGAAAAATGTGTAACATGGTAGGAGCAGGAAAATAACATTGGCAGTCCTGCGACAAGTATGCTACAGATTCTACACATTTCATTAGATCCAGTCCCATCACTAACCCATTCAGAAACATGCCTGAGAGAGGTGAAGTGGCCGGCCAGTGGTTACCCAGCTAGCCTGTGGCAGGGTAGGCTTTGATTCTAGGGCTACCTGGTGTCCTTGCCACAGCGTAACACTGCCTGAGTTTTCCCGGCTCTGTGAACACATTCATTGTTCACTTGGCATAAGGTTTCCAGTTCCTTTCTTTCCACTATTCCATCCAAATGAGTTTTCTTTCTCATTCTGAGGGCTTCTGTGAGCATTCACACCCTGTTCTGTAGCTAAGGAAAACGAAGGGAAACCAGATTCCTCTTCACACACAACAGCTCTCTCCTTTATCACATTCTAAGTGAAAGCTTTAATAAGAGACATAGTGTTTCTCTCAAACCCATTGTAGTTGAGGAGAAGCAGCCTGCTTTGCTACGTTGTTCCCAGTGGCCAACATGTTCACACCCAGGAGGTTTGTGATAATTTTCCCATTACACAATGTGAAGTAAAAGCTCAGCTTTTGTTATCAACGGTCAACTTAGTTAATTCATTGTTGAATATAAAAATAACCAATAATTTCTAATGTAAATGATAACTGTAACATATCTTTGTACTAGCAACACTTCACTCTCTTATCACAGTTTCCCTACACAGCAGGGAAGATGAATACATGTCACAGCAGACAAAATATGCAAGGGACTGCACATAGCTCTTGCATTTTATCTCAGAGTCAGGGAAGTTGTAGATTCTATTCCACTTAAAAGCCTTGCTTTTAATTTTTCCCTCTTCAGATCCTAAATACAGCAATTTAGAAAATACCTCATATTTATTTTGTACTGTCTCAGCACTCCCCAGGCTACTCCTGGTGGTATGAGATCTTTTCTTTGAAAAGAATGATAATATGGTTGTTAACACAGAACTACAAAATGGCAAACTGTGAATAGTAAAGCCACAGATTGATCTGCTACATTTCAATAATTCATAAATTTTTTAAAGAGCTATTAAAATTTGTGTTCTACAGTATTTCCTATACTAAGGAAAGGGAAGTACATGGACTTTATATGAAAGTTAATGCGCTTTTAAATTTTTGAATTCTGAAACTCATTTAATTTTATCAGATTTATGTATGTGTTAAACTGTTCAGTCTTTCTACTCTATTCTAATCAGATAATAGGCACTTAAAGAAACATTTCATTTTTGTTGTCAGAATGCAACTGCAAAATGTGGGAGTCATTGTATAAGGTGAAAATTACCTTGTTTATCTATAACCGAGTATGAGGCCAAAAATCCTCGTCCAGAAACATGGATTCCACTCATGAACAGCACTGTAATTTCATTGCTTTTTGACTCAATTGAATGGTTCATTTGCGACCTCAGACCACAGTATTTGCCTAGGAATGAAAGAAAAGCAGATATTGGTGTGACTATCATTAAGTCAATAATATTTGTAATGTAGGTAACAGAATCAGAATAATATACCAAATGGGCTATTAAATTAGTACAAAATAATGACTAGAGTGTGTAACAACTGAAAAATCACAAATTACTCTGGAGAAAAAAAAAAAAGCCAAGTAATAACTGTTCAAATGATTCAAAAGAAAAAAACAGTACAGGCAACACTGACTTTATGACAATTCATTTCATATGAAACACACATATATGCTTTAAAACAGTAACAAGGAACTAAAAGAATTAACTTGAAACATTTCATGCAGGCAGATGGCTCACAACTGAACTGATAGTCAACCAGTAGGATTCTTAACACAACCCTCAGGCTCCCCTAGATCCCGACCTGAGGACACCCCTCAAGCCTTTTTGGGATCTACTCAATTTTTCTTCTGAGGACTGCTGATTTCTACTCAATCTCTTTGGTGGTCAGGTTCATTCCCATGACTTTAACTATGATCTGACAAGTCACAGATGTAACCATCCATCCACAGCCTTTACCTTGAATCTCAGGGTATATGTCTAACTGCATGCCTAACTTCTATCCTTTAATGTCTATCAGATATGTAATAAAAAATAACATACTCAGTACACTCCTTAGATACTAAGAAAAAAAGAAGAAAAATGAATTAAAACAAGATATCCACTAAATAAATACTAAAAATGGATTATTTTATGTGCTTGGTTACTTGTCCAAATGGCAACATCGCTTGAAAAAGAGTAATGTGGACTTTCAGGAATATCACTACCCTTCATACTTGACTTTGTGAGTAGAAAATTTTCAGGAGTCAATAAAAAAACCCTGTTAGAACTAGTGAAGAAGCTTAGCAAAATCACAGGATCCGTATATAAATATCAACTGTATTTCCATATTTGCTAATGACAATCTGAACTGAATTTTTAAAAACTCAACCCACAACAGCATCAAAAAGAGTAAAATATTTAGGAACACCTTTAAAAAGAATAAGCTCAAAATCAGTACACTGAAAAATACAAAACACTGCTGATAATAAAGAACTAAAGAAATGGGAAGATATACTGATACTAAGTCCATGAACTAGACTACTCAGTACTGTTAATATGTCAGTTCCTCCTAAATTGATATAGTGATTTACTGCAATCCCTCTCAAAATCTTACTGGGCTTTTTTTTTTTTTTTTTTAAGAAAAGCATTAACAATCTGAGTATAAAATTTATATGAAGTACAAAGAACACAGAATAGCCAAAATAATTTTAGTAAAAAAAAGAAAGTACCTGATTTTTAAACTTAGTATAAAACTATAGAAATCAAGACAGTGTGGAATTGCTGTAAGGATAAATATAAATAAAACATACAGTTGTATGTATAAATATAATAATCAAGACAGTGTGAAACTGTTTTAGGGAAAAATATATATATGAAACATACTGTTGTACTTTAGTATCCATGAGGAATCTGTTCCAAAACTTCCCTCTGATACCAAAATCTGCAGATTCTCATGTTCCTGATATAAAATGGTGTAGTATTTGTATATAATCTATGTACATCCTCTCATATACTTTAAATTATCTCTAGATTACTTATATTGTACCTAATATGGTGTAAATGCCATGTAAAAATAGTAGTTATACTGCATTGCTTTGAGAATGACAAGAAGTCTGTACATGTTCAGCACCATTTTTTCCTCCACATAGTTTTGATCCATGGTTGGTTGACTCCGCAGATGCAGAAAATGGAAAACTAATTGTATATTATATATGCAACATTATACATATATATACACACAGTCATGAGTCACTTAATGACAAGAATAGAATCTGAGAAATGTGTCCTTAGGCAATTTCATCATTGTACGAATATCCTAGAGGGTACTTACACAAACCTGACAGTACAGTCCATTACACATCTAGGCTACATGGTATGGCCTATTGCTCCCAGGCTATAAACCTGTACAGCACGTTACTGTACTGAATTCGTATTGGGAATATATAAGAAACCCCTGCAACACCATAATAAGATAAGTAACCCATTTTTTAAGGAGTAAAATATTTGAATAAGACACTTCAACAAAGATGGCATACTATGCCAAGTAAACACATAAAATGTTCAACAGTCTTCATCCTTTGAAAAATAAGTACTAGAACTACAAGGAGATTCAATACACACCCAACAGAATGGCTACAATCACACAAGATAGACAATACACCAAGTATTGGTGAGGATGTGGGCGAAAGAGAATCTTCATACACTAATGGTAGAAATATAAACTGGCACAGCCAGCTACCTTTGAAAAACAGTTTGGCAGTTTCTAAAGAACTTATACATAAACACATAATTATCATACAGCTCAACACCCACTTTTAGTTATTTTCCCAAGAAGAAAAAAAGCATGTCTATAGAAATATTATGCAAATAATCACAGCAGCATTACTCCTATCTGCCTCAAACTGAAACAATTTTTTATCAACTAGTTAGTAGATAAACAAGATGTGGTATATATCCTTACAACGGAATACTACTCAACAATAAAAAAGGAACAAACTACTACTACATACAACAAAATGGATGATCCTCAAAAAACATTATGCTAAGTGGAGAACCTACTCATTTATATTTCTAGAAAGGCAAAAATAATAATAAAATAAAATAAAGGGTGGGGGATGGAAAGCAGATAACAGCTGTCTGGCACTGGGGTGAACGGGAACTACATGCAAGGGAACACAAGGGAAACTTTTGGTGTGACGGAAATTTCTAACCTTAGATTTTAGTGATGGTTACATACCTGTATATTTGCTGAAAAACCAAACTACATTTAACACAAGTGAATTTCATGGCATGTAAATTATACCTTAATAAAGTCTGTAAAAAATGCAAACATTGAAATAATTTTGATTGTGAGAAATCGTCAGGTGTTAAAGATGTCATTGTTTTATGGAAGGAAAAGATAGGTCATGGAATTAGATGCTGTTAGAGCTGAACGAGAAATTTAGAGATCTAATCCAAGTCCCACATTTGACAGTTGAAAAAACTGAAAAACTTATAGATAACTGGATTGCCTAAAGTGACACAACTCGCTAAGACTGAAGTCAGTCCAGAACCTCGGTTCTTGTTATACAAGGTTTGTGTTCCCACATCTCCAAATTCATATACTCAAAACCCTCAACTCTAATATGATATGTAGAGATGGGGGCCTTTGGGAGGTTATTGTCATGAGGGTGCAGCTCTCTTGAATGAGATTAGTGTCCTTATAAGAAGAGAAACTTAGAAAAAGAGCGTTTGCATCTCCCCTGCTCTCCTTTATGTGAAAATACAAGACAATGGCTATCTGTAAACCAGGAAGAATGCCCTCACCAGATACCAGATCTGCCAGCACCTTGATCTCAGGTTTCTAGCCCCCAGAACTATGAGAAATAAATGTTTATTGTTTAAGCCATCCAGTCTATAATATTTTTGTTATAGCCCACAAACTAATGCAGTTTTCTATCTTGTCTTGTGATTTTTCCTTGTGCACACCACTCACCAGTAATGGAGCTAATGATGCTTCCTCCCATGGGGCTGTGATGAGAAACACTTAATATCGGCATGGCTTTCTCTCTCCCTGCACATGACCCACCATAAAACTTGAGGAGTCCCTCAGGGTCCACAGCAGTCCAGCTGCACTCTCCTTTCCATGGCAGCAACAACGCTTTTGCGTTTCCTCTCATTCCACCCACAGTCTCACCCCTTAAAGACATTAGTAAATACTTCAGTTTGTCTTTTGGTCTAAGTCACCCAAGAATCTCATGATGCTATGTTTGCCCTTAACCACAAGATTAGTTTTACCTACGCCACATTCATTTCAAGATGACTATTTGCTGAAACTGACCATATTCTTTTTTTTTTTTCAATTCTTTTTAACTTTATTTTTTTTTTTTTCATTAATCAGTATTTTTTATTATGGTTTTGTGGGGTACAGTTAAGGGTTAGGTGTACAATGACGTTTCATTCAGGCACCCTGTAAATAAAAAGTGTTTTCCCATCCCCCGACAGATATTTGCTACTGTTAATCCCATCCCCCTCCCCCCCCATAGTTTCCCAATACCATCCATCATTTTCTCATAGTATTGCATTGGATGTTCAAGGTCCATTATATGAGTGAGAACATGTGATATTCGGATTTTTGTTTTTGTGAGAGGTCACTCAGTATTATAGACTCTAGTTCCATCCAGGTTGCAGTGAAATTCATGATTTTGTTCTTTTTTATGGCTGCGTAGTATTCCATCGTGTATATGTACCACATTTTTTTAATCCAGTCCTCTTTTGATGGGCAGCATGGTTATTTCCAGGTTCTTGCTATTGTGAACAATGCTGCGATAAACATACGTGTGCAGGTATCTTTTTTATAGAGTGATTTGTGTTCTTCAGGGTATATTCCCAGTAGGGGGATTGCAGGGTCATATGGAAGGTCAATTTTTAGAGCTTTTAGGAATCGCCACACTGCTTTCCACAGAGGTTGCACTAGTTTACACTCCCACCAACAGTGTAGAAGTGTTCCCTTTTCACCACACCCTCTCCAGCAGCTGTTATTTTTTGAGTTGTTGATAATTGGATTCTGACTGGAGTTAGGTGGTATCTCAGTGTGGTTTTGATTTGCATCTCCCTGATGATTAGTGAGGTTGAGCATTTCTTCATGTGTTTGTTGGCTGCTCGAATATCTTCTTTTGTGAAGTGTCTGTTCATGTCTTTTGCCCATTTTATAATGGGGTTGTTTGTTTTCTTCTTTTCAGTACGCTTCAGTTCCTTGTAGATCCAGGATGTTAAGCCTTTGTCGGACCTAGAGTTGGCAAATACTTTTTCCCAGTCTGTAGGCTGTCTCCCTGCTCTCTTGATGGTTTCTTTGGCTTTGCAGAAGCTTGTCAGTTTAATAAGGTCCCATTTGTCTATCTTCTCTCTTAAGTCCTGTGGGTTTCGGGTTTTGTACAGGAAT